GGGATCAACTTTGTGATGATAAACAGAATTCAGAATGGAATTTGTTCCGCTGTTCGTCGTATGTGCCAACAATATTCTGAATAACACTCAAGTATTACAAACGTAAAAAGCAGCATTACTGTCCATTTACCGTGCTTCAATGCAATACCTTCGAGAAGACAAGAAAGAAGAAAACAAAAAGAGAGGTGCAGAGGCAGCCAGCAAATAATAATAATTTAAGCAAACAATATGCGATAACCGCAGGGTTTATTCCCCTTTTTTGTTACTAAGAATTTAGAGTCATTGAGTTTTATAGTGTTACATACTAACAGTTAGTTCAAGTTTGTGGTAGTAAACAACAAAAAAATATAGAATAGCAAATTTTGAAAAATATAAGGGCAAAACGAATAATGATTTATACACCCATATAGTGTAATGAGAATAGAAATTGGAGAAATTAAATCCAAACGCCAAATTACATAAAATATGTGGAAGAAAAAAGTATGATAATACTTATTTATGCAGTTGTTCTGATTTATAAAGTTCGATGTCCTCCTGAAGTAGAGAAATCGTACCATGATCTTGTTTTCAAAGAGTTTATACACAAGCTTTGCCATACAGGCAGATTTTATTTTATTTGTTGAAGTTATTCAAACTCAGGAGCCTTAGCAATAGAGCGCATTCCAACAGATAAGGGTGGTTCTCTTAAGTCCCCACCATCCTATCCGCTGAATGGCAGTCACCACCCTCATTCGTAGTCAGTAAGGTGGAAGATGAAATACTGAATGGGGTATCTGATTCACTCCGGATCGTCTTACGTGAAGATAAGTAGAAACTTCACATAGGCTGTGTTTATCGAGCACCATGCTCAACCACTGAGGAAATTATTTTAGGAATTTAGTTATTCCTCACATCTACTATCTTCAAATTCCAGGGCAAAATATATAAACAAACAGTAGGCGTAGCAATGAGATCACCAATATCCCCTATAGTAGCAGATATAATGATGGAAAGTTGGGAAAACATCACTCTTAAGACATTTAAATTAACATGCTTTCCTTTGTCGTATCTTCGAATATCACTTAACGATGTCTCATCTCATTCATTTTCTAATAACGTCTTCACTTGCTCATTATATTCCACTAAACCTAACATTTTATAGCTCTTTATGAATTTGATTCGACTTATTTTATTCCTATTCTCTATAGGGTACGGTTGTGCACCAAATACACAAAAAGGTATGAGATAAAAACAACCGGCTTGTGGATAATTGTATTAAACCAAAAGTAAACATAATGATAGTTAGACCTATAGGGTAGCATTATACATTTCAAATGAACTTTGTCAGCCCAGGGATTATAGTCCCCCATCGTATTTCCTTTATGAATGCATATATTAATGATACATTGCATTTACCTATTTCATTACACTTTAATGATTCACCTTAGCACCTTTACTTCTCTAAAACAGCTTACTATCCCTTGTAAACGTTGTACTTGCCTCAATATTGGTTGGTTATCGTGTGCCTACAACTACGGGTTGAAAACGAAACGAAGTAGATTTTCCTGCGCAACCTGGAGGGCTGCTTTTTAATTCAATAATGATACGACATGGGTCAGACAAAGAGTGTATTTATATATATATATAAAATCAAATATTTAGCTGTTCAAACATTAACTTGTAGACAATCTACTATTTGATATCATATCATACTTGATCGTGCCTGTAAAAATGGCATGCATTTTCACGTAAATTTATGTTTATATGAAAATATAAATTATTATTATTTAGTCCTACTTCAAAAATATGGTGAAGATGTGACGATGACACTTTCACAGTGTTAAAAAGCAGAACATATCTCTAGCTTCTTGACACACATAAACTCACTAGTAGAGGGAATAAAATTCACATTTGAATCGGTAAATAAACAAGGAGAATTAGCTATATTTGATTGTAAAATAAAACGAATAGAAGAAGGTAAACTGCATTCTAGTGTTTATAAAAAACCAACGCATTCTGCTTACAGATATTTAGACTTTAATTCATCTCATCGGTTAACTGTTAAGGCAGGCTTAGTTAAGTGTCTAACAAAGCGAGCAGTAGCACTAAGTAGTACAACAAAAGACCTAAATGATGAAATGAAACAGATAGAAGAAGCGTTGGTGCCAAATTACCAGCGTCAAGCGGTGGAAAATAATGGAATCATATAAATGAAGCTAGAAAGTGTGAATACCTTGATGTGATTATGAGCAGCAATAAATTGTGGCCGAAACGTTATTTTTTATTCCTTCACATTCCCAGTAGAACATACAGCTACATGCTAGATGCGTGAAGTCTCCGTAGCAGTGTTTATTTTTACAGGATGGGGTTGCTAGCCTCATCCCCAACCTTTCCTCTTTACTAGCTTAATTTCTGGCTTAGCGAGGTAAAGGAGTGCGTCGGCCGGGGATCGAACCACGGACCATGTGCATGGTCGGCGAGCGTCCTAACGGCTGTGCCACCGACGCTCGAAACGTTATCAGTTAATATTACTGTATAACACTGTGAAACTTTATCAATTTAAATTTTACTCATAATGGAATAACACTCTACCACAGTGCACAAGTTCTATTATTCTATCTTGTTACCTTACTCCTGGGTTGGGGTGTGCTCAACAATAGTTCAGTCGAATTCCGCTGCACAAAATAAGAAATAAAGGACTGACTGAAACAGTTGGAGATGACACTAGGTGGGGCTACAGCGGAAGGTCATTTAAACTGGACCATATCCTAAGCAATGACCAGTTGGCAGTAAAAAACTTTCAAATCATTGCCGCTTAGATATTCGTGACCATGGGGTCACAATGTTTGATCTGCGTCTTTGCGAGCACCAAAACTGGGATGCTATGCGACCCTGTCCGCATCAAAATTCGAAGACTAGTCTGACCCAAAAAAATCCCGAGGAAGCCTAACTGTCTATACCGATTCAAGTTGGAAAGAAAACCTGCCACCCATAGAGTATGGACCTATCAGGTCCAAATGGTCAGTATGCTACTAGTTTAGAAGTGGATGGTGCATCCACTTTGGCCTTTGATGGACTGCTAAATAGTACAGTGGATATGACCCGCAGGGATTGCAACACTAACTTGGCAAGAGAAAAAACAATGGGTACACCCGAAATAAACCCTGCAATGGTGAAAGAGAGGTTGAGGAAATTCAACTCTGGAAGGTCCTCAGGTTGTGACAATGTTGAACCACCTGACCTTTTATAACCTGTCCTAACACTTCTTGGATCCAGGGGAACTGCTAAAGGGGTGGAAGATAGCCATTCCTTCCACAATCTTCAAGGGTGGGGGCCGGAAAAATGCCACGAGTTATAGGCAGGTAGCACTACTTCCACTTCTCAAAAGTACTGGAGAGTCTAACTGATGGTCACATCAGGGAGCACCCTGACAGGACTAATGGACTCCATGAAGGGCAACACGCTTTCAAGGGAAAGAATCCTGTGTTACAAGTCTGTTAGTAACTTTGAGTGATTGGATAGCATGTTGGAATATGAATATTCCAGTCCATGTGGTCCTACTCGACTTTACCATAACTTCCTCCTTTAAAAATATAAGTCAGACGGACAGTGGTGGCTCACTTCTCTCACGTCGGAGGACTAGCTAGGCGGAGGGGCATCTTGCACCAAGGTTAATGTTGCCCTATCATTCTAACACAGTTGGTCATCGGGAGCATCAAAGAGTCCTGTCCTAAGGTCACAGATGTTTTTGATTTCTGCCGGTGACTTACCTTCAGTCTAAACTGCCATGCTCTTCTCTACGGTAATGCCGCAGAGATTTGTAGAGTAATAAAGTGTGCGAAAGTGAAAATTCTGGAAGAATGGTCAGTGGTAGGTAGGAGGACTTCCAACCTGAAAAGATGCAAAGTGCAGCTGCTCTTCCGTAAACTGCGGAATGTAGCTTACTTCCTGTATAACAGTGGAGAGAGACCTGGGCCTGGTTCAAACGGAACAAACGACACACAAGCGGACGATGTAGCTAGGGTATATGTGGTTATAGACTTTGTGCATGGAAAATTAGCTGCGCTCACTCCTAGGCTATTGCTGAGGTTGTATAAAACATACATAAGATCATACCTTAAAGTGCACAATATCACTGCTCCCTCGTTATTAAGAAGGGAAGCTATTCTTTAGGAAAGAGTGCAAAGAGGTAAAAAGGAGATGACCGGTCTGCGAAACAAACTGTATGATCAACGGTTGAAGGAATTAGATCCTTTCCAACTTAGCTGATGTTGTCTTATAGATGACTTAACCACCGTCTGCAAGATTACAAGTGACAAGGATCATACAAACAAAGGTCTTCTGCTATTAAGTACTCAGGGGTTTCCTCGTGGTAATCCACGAAGAATAGCGCATCAGAGAGCAAAGGATCACTTGCACTCCCATTTCTTTTCGCTTCCAGCTTCCCGACACTAGAACTCTTTTTGAGCAGATGTGACTAATCCACTGTTCGTGAATAGCTTTACGGGGGCGCTGATCAATCTTGCAGCGACACAAGAACTGCATCTGAACGGCATATCCTATTAAAACACTTAAATTCTATTAGTGGTGAACTCTTTAACTCGCCCTTCCACTACAACTTGTTCTTCCTTGTCTTACTCTCTAAGATACTCTATCTGTTCATTCACTTATATGTACATGTACAACTATATGCATATTTATACATATAAATATATATATTGTTGTTTATCAAATTTCATCAGCTGTTTGTGTGTTTTCAGTTTTTTCAAGGTCAACATAACCCACACAGATTACATCTATCATCTCTCTTTTTGACCACACCGAGCGACCAATGAGTGAAATGATTAACCTCATTCACAGAAGTCACACGGTCTTAACACACTAATAATTACAACCTATATGCAACCAATCGCAGAACTAATACCCTTGGAGACAACCAAAACGATGCCAGTCGAATGGCAGACCGACAAATGAATGAGCATATAGGAAATTAGGATCCTTCAGTTTCTAACCAAAAGACGGGTGCACAGAAATCATTTTGGTTCACATCAGCTCGTTGAAACGATACAGGACATTGAACATTGGAGTCGCGTGTGCACACTTCAAGGTGTGCGTTACTTGGCAACAAACATGTTTGGGTTGCCAACTGTTTTTCTGCTTCTCTCCTTCCTATCAGGAGGATTGCACTGCTTAGATATCCCTTTTAAACAAGCACTTAATGCGGTTACTACGTCAGCAGAACAATTAAAATCATCTGAAGAATCTAATTCATTATGGGCCTCATTCTTTTCTGGGTTTTCATCGTCGCTGTACGTTATAATTATTTCAGAACTCGGAGACAAGACATTTTTCATTGCTGCTATTATGTCCATGCAGCACCCGCGTGCTTTAGTCTATGGTGGAGCCATGCTTGCCCTAATAACGATGACAATACTTTCAGGTAGTAATAATCACACTCAATATGTTTGTTTCAGCGCTTCTTGGCTATGCTACTACCATTGTACCTCGTTTCATTACATTTTACGTATCCGGCGTATTATTTCTGCTATTTGGCCTCAAAATGCTTTATGAAGGTATAGTTCACAATCATTCTGTTGAAGTGCTTAGCATATACTATGTCTTCCACTGCAGCCAAGGAAGAGTTTGATGAAGTTCACATTCAGCTTACACAATCTAAAGGCGCTGACCTGGAAGCGGCGAACGCACCTCAAGATGTTCATCGGAGTGTCTTTTCGAAATTGTGCACTGCCACTAAACAAATATTAACTCCAGTATTTGTTGAGGCCTTTATCCTTACATTTTTGGCGGAGTGGGGTGATAGATCCCAAATAACTACGATTGTTCTTGCAGCTACAAAGGTGAGTGGCGACTTTTTCAGATCACTAAGGGGAATTTTCGGACAGTGCTATTTTCTGGAGGAAGTCGTACCATGTCATCACTGAGCCAGTAAACAAAAACATTTTAACTTAAACTGATATTCCATATTAGTTAGATATATATACTGTGAGACAGTATTATTTAATGGATGACAAGGTTTCGAACACAATTTATTACTGTTCATAATCATATCAATTATAACCACACGACTTTGAAACTTGAGTTCTATAGTTCTCTTTGTTACCATCTGATTGTAATTGATCAATAACACTCATATTATTATTTCTGTGCATTCCAATATCTAATCAATTCCACATATGTATATAAACGAGGGAAAAAGGTTGTGTGAGTGAGCTACTTGATATGATTATGAGTGGCAATAATTTGTGCTCGAAACGTGGTCATCAGTTAATATTACTGTATAACACTGTGTGATTTATCAAAATAAAATCTTATCCATAATGGAGTTATACTCAACCACATTGCCCAAGTTTTATACATATATCAATAGTTCTCTTTGTTCTTTCCTATTTGTCGTCATTGGAGTAGTGGAATTTTCCAGATATCTGGGACAGGTGTTGAATATTAGTGACCCCATGGCAACTCACTCAGTTTGTTTGTATATTTTCCCCTGGAATTTAAATACTGAGAAACTCAGGCATACCTGCATTCCCAGCATTATATCCCCCAGTGGCACTTTCGTTCTAAGTTCACGTTCTTGGCAAGAAATGAGTTCGTTTCTGACTGCCTCTATAGCCATATTTATTGGTATACGTACGTGTCAAACAAAAGAAATGCAACGGTAATATTAAACGAATCAGACTGTTTAGACAAGGTGAAAACTCACCGTTATGAATAAGGTTAGGAAATCCACAATGGACCTTATACACCGAATAAAGCCGATTCTAGGTACATAATAGTACACACTAAATTAATTAGGGTTTATAATTTATTTATACTACACATATAAACACACGAATTGAGTTTGACTAAAATTTAACACATGGCTAACAGAAACTGGTATTGTTTAAGACAGCATTTATTCAAAACAATGAACGTCCCTGATATTAAATTTTTCATGGTAGAGTATCATAAAAATGACACTGAAACAAAGAGTAAAACCCCTTGTTACTTTATCGAAAACAACTGTAGAAGACTATTGAAATCAAGCGGCATTCTACAAACATACTGCAACATAAGTAATCCTTAGAAAGGATATAAAAATACTACACATGATAGTAGCTTGGGAAACAATTCTGTAAATCGACTTTGGAATATCATTATTTCTTAAGTAGAAGCCACAGTAAAATTAAATTGCCTTCATTAATAGTTTTGATTCGTAGTGATGTCCGTGAACACATTGCAAAACCACGAGTTGGTAAAAGTTGTAATTCATGCGCCATATAATCGAGTCCTAGTGGTCGAATGGTCTACGAGCTTGTCTTGTAACTAGAAGGTTCTGAGTTCAAATCCTGATGGCTGCGTAGTGATAAAGAATAATCCCAAACCAGCATGAAGTGTCTGTCCAGTACTTCCAGGCTTTCCAATGGTCTCCTAACTGAAGTCAACCTGTGATCAAACTTGAAACATTTACTGATTTTACGAAACTATATTTGACCAGTGATAGACCAAAGTGATTAGATTTATTTTTAACCCCTTTTCCCCCTTCTGATGCTTTGGCCAACGAGGTATTAATCTTAACTTTTGCAATATGAATAATTTATAATCTAATGGGAAGATGATAACAGCACAAAGGTGCTTCAGGTAAACTTGTTCCACTTTGAAATAGTGGAGGCAGAAGCAGCAAAAGCATTAGTTCATGCACCAGATGAGGTAGTAATTAAGCGGCGTCTAGTAAAGATTTTACCACAGATTGATGAACGAAGAATGATACATCTCGATTGCTTCCTCTTCATATTCAATAACCTCCCATCAGTATTGGGTGAATAATACGTTTTTTTCAGTAAAGAAAATTGCGAAACACGTGATGAGTCTGTTCGCAAAGAGTAGGCTGGATTTCGTCCAGGCCGTGGGTGCATTGATCATGTGTTCATCCTTCGTCAGTTGTTGGAACATCGTCACACATACTGCAGGCCAACACTCGTTGTGTTTTTTGGTATTAGGGCTGCCTTTAATTCGTTGGACAGAACTATTCTCTAGAACTGTCTGCTAGAGAGGGGTGTACCTGAGAAGGTTGTCAAAGCGCTACCCTACCTCAGGTAGAGTGAGGGCACATAACCAGTTATCATCAATGTTCCAAACTAACAGTGGATTTAGACTGGGTTGCCCAATCTCTCCATTTGTCTTTAACATTGCCATCGATGCCATTCTGTAGTCAGCTCTGAAGGACGTCCGTTAAGGTGATGTAGATCTTCGTGGAGAAAGACCTTTTGACCTTAAGTATGTAAATGGTATCCTTTTGCTGTGCGATAGCATGCAGGCTGCCCAAATCGCACTTAATCAGTTGGGGATCAGTGTCTGTAAATATGGTATATACTTTGTGCAAGGTAGTGTTAGAAGTTTGGCTGGAGCATGTATCTGCACTCACTTTTGCAGGTCAACCGTTTGAAGTTTTCAATAAGTTCATGTTTCTGGGTAGTTGTGTGAGCTCTGGCGGAAGTGTGACGGACGAGATTTTCAACCGTATCATGAAAGCTAGGGTGGAATACGTCGACTTGAGCCACCTCTTGTGCCATAGCAACGTTAACCTGGCTGTCAAAGGTCGGGTTTACAATGCTTCGGTGCGCGCTGTCCTGCTCTACGCCTGCGAAACCTTGCCTCTCTGAGCTGAGGATGTGCGGAGACTCTGCGTATTCGATCTTTTCAGTCTCCATAGAATTGCTTGCGTTCCATGGTGTCATCGTGTGATTAATTCTGAGGTCCGACAGATCCTAGCTGTCTTTGATTATAGGTGTCTGCGTTCTGTTTCCCGTGTTAACTGATATAATAAGGTGAGTAATATTCAGGTTAGGTGTCGAGTGCTAGGTAAGGAGAGGAATTCAATAGACGATATTGTGAAGTTATATCAATCGAGATGGTTAAGACATGTGTCAGACATACCTAGCCATCGCCTTCCTCGAAGGGCAATGTTAGCTGACATATGATCAGGTTGGAAAAGAGGTATTGATGGTCAAACGAAAACATAGCATTAGTCAATGAAATCCCGAAGAATTAGTTCAAGCCCAGCCGCTTAGGGAGGTGTAGACTGGCTGACTGACTGGTTGAACTCCTCGGGTTGGTAAGAACCAGTGACGACTGGAAAAATTAGTGATATGGCAGGAAACCGTTTTGAATGGCTGGCGCAGATGCATTTACTTTTTGTGATTTGTCATATCCAGTAAAATTCTATTATTCTTCCATATTACTATTCTTTTTGACTCACACTTCTGTTTATTATCTCTCCTTTGAATCTATCTTTTCTCTCTTTTCATGGAGCGTGGCATCTCGAGCTACTGTACATCTGTGCAAAGTTCTATGTTGAAACCAGTCAGTAGTCAATCATATACTTCTAGCTGATGTGAATAGTTGGAAACCACTCGTATCTCTCGATAGTACATAGCACTATTTGACTGACTCACTGACGAAGTTTCGGCATAGAACTCCCTACAGAAGTACACCAGTGGCTACACTCCATTCAGCACACAAAGGTAGACATAAAGGGGGAGAAAAGACATTCGAAAGAAAGATTCAAGAAGGAGTAGTTACATGGCAAAACAGGAGGATTCAATGAATCTAGGAGAAGATTAGCTGTCTTCGATCATAGGTGTCTGCGTTCCATCTCCCGCGTGAAGTGGTATAATAAGGTGAGCAATATTGAGGTTAGGCGTCGAGTGCTAGGTAAGGCGGGGAAATCAATCGATGAGACTGTGAAGTTACATCGACTGAGATGGTTGGGACATGTGTTACGTATGCCTAGTCATCGCCTTCCTCGACGGGCAATGTTAGCTGATATAGGGCCAGGCTGGAAAAGAGCTAGCTAGTGGTGGTCAAACAAAAACATGGCACCAGTCAATGAAATCTACTACAGTTAGTCTAAGTCACGTAGGGAGATGTAGACTTCCTGGTTGGGGTCCTCGGGACGGTAAAAACCAGTGGTTGGAAACAATTGGTGACATGGCTCAAAATCGTTCTCAGTGGCGCAGATGCATCCACTCCTTGTGACTTATGATTTCCGATGAAACTGTTCGTTCTTCGTTATTACTACTCCTTTGTCTCACACCTCTGTTTACTGTCTATATTATGCATTTCTCCTACTTTCTTCTCTTGCTTTGTGTGCTACATGGAGGGAGTGTGTCGACTTGAACTGCCGCATATATTTGCAAAGTTCTATGTCGAAAACAGACAGACAGACAGATCTAGGAGATCACGAAGTGTGAAGGCATGCATCTACGCCTCCGAGTTTCAGCCACATCATCAATAGTCTCTAGTCATTGGTTCTTGGCATCCTGAGGTCTCCAGCAGGGGAGTCTACATTTTCCAATGTGGCTGGCTCAAACCAACTGTGAAAAACTTAAATAAGATAAATTAAATAGCCTTATTCTAAACAAAATGTTTACACCATATGCGGATCTCTCAGCGCAACTTATTGCGCAATATTTTTTTTCCTCATCCAGAATCTTCAAGTAAAATAGCAGCAGGCTACAGTATAGTATATCAAGTGAACCAATACTGTTAGATCTGAAACACAGACTAACACCTTATGATATTTTTCCTTTTTCTCTGAGAAATGTACACTGTTAGTCTGAAAGCCATTTGAAAGTGTGCGTTGAGTATATTTCGCGAGTCTACGACATAATTGAATGGATAAAACAATAAGAATTAGAGGAGATATGATGTTGTATTGTGTGTATTGGGTAGAAATTCAAGTAGCCCATTAATCCCAGCAAGCCGCCGGTATCGATTGATGCCAGGTTTTTATTTGCCCACCCTTAATTGTTTCCTTTCCAACCTAAATTGCATGTCAGCCAACGTTGCTCGACAAGGATGACGAAGACTAGCTATGCACAACACGTGTCCAAGTCATCTCAATCTATGTAGCTTCGAAACCTCATTGAATACCAATACTTAGTCTCTTTGTAAACGAGTTTTGTAATGCCAATCAGATATCCTTACAATTATATTACCGAGAATTATAACGGGTATTATTATTTTAACTATTGGTGTAATAGGTGATGTCTGTAGGTGAAATTGGAAATCACGCAATATACACATTTGATCATAGGGAATTATAAAAAGACAATTGCAGCGAAGAAAATTTTCTTTTCGACGAAGTCATCATCTAGGCTGTACATTCGTGTATTTATATGAAATGGATGGGAAAGTTCCAGAATAATTTCCGGTTAAGGGTCAAATTAATAAAAATTATACTTGGGAATTAGAATGCCATAATAAACAGGGGGACGGATAAAACTCAAACAAAGTAGCATTATAATAACTAAGAAGATTGACATTGTGCAATTGGGGGTTAGAAATGTAGAAATAACAAAATAGACAGGATTTTTGGATAAAAAAGTAATGTGATGAATAATTGTTTATTCGATCAGGGATTAAATATGTAGAAATAGTAAAATGACAAAATAAACAGGAAGAGTGGATATGAAAATATGGTTGTGTAAATAGTGGAGGGATTAAGAAAAACTTAAAATAACATGAATAAACAGAAAGTTTAGATAAGAAAGGCGATGGGATGGTCATTACTAAAAAAATTATCTGTTTATGATGGCCATGGCAGGGACAGGGGTTGGACGTATTTCTTTTGGATACATAGCGTGGGTTTGAGCTTTTGGATAGCTAACGCCTCAGCTATGCCCAGATGTCTTGATTCCACTCCCTTTGACAGGTTTGATTGAATCTTGTATATTACTTTGAAGGATTTTTCGAAAGGCGCTGAATGTCCTGAGTTGACCAGATGTTCTGTCACTGAACTGTATACACGTTTTTGGTCTCCTTTTGCGTTTGCATTTTGCAGTAAGATTTTCATTCTATCTACAGTTATCATCCACTAAATCGATCAATATATATATATATATATATATATATATATATATATATATATTAGTCTGCCTACGCAAGACTGTCTCAGATAATGTCACCATCGATTGTACTATTTTTTTCTTTTCTTTTCTTTCAATCTTACAGAGCGCTTTGGGTGTGATTGTTGGTGGAGTTCTTGGGCATTCTTTGTGTACAGGTTTTGCCGTCCTTATGGGTCGTTTTGTTGCTCAACGTATCCCTGTACAATGGAGTAAGTAAACTAAGCTAATTATGTATTATTTATAGGTGTCTTTGTTGTTGAGAGGTTTGTGTCGATATTTAGAATGGGTTAATAAAAATAATGTTCCCGAGTTTGTTTGTAGGGATTTAAGTTGTTTCAATTTTGACAATGGACTAGTATCAAGGAAGGTTTTATGTGTGATGACGAATTGTTTTTGAATGCATAAAGGTGGTTTATTTAAGCGATTTATTACTTCTATGTACTAGCAATGTTAGGTTTACAGTTGAAGGCAGTTGTTTCCGTCAAGTTGGCGATGTTGCATTGGGAATTCCGTTAGACCCCCTTTTAACAAATACCTATATAGATATGATGGAGACTTGTAGCTCAGGTGAATGATTTTCATGTGGTTGTGTTCTCTGAGCTGGATAGTTAATTTGCGAAGCTTTCATCGCCCTGCTGCTAGGCGAAATCTTCAGCGCATACTCCAATTTATTGAAGTGAGCTTTTAGATTTCTCCACGAGTTTATTAGTCATCTCTCCCGGTGGGTGTCCTTGGACGTGATTGGTTGTTTTTGTGTGTTTCCACTCCCTCTAGGCTACTTGTATTAGTATTAGTGTTGATTGTTTCCTTGACTTGAACTTTGACCCTTTTTGTGTGAGGTTTCCTTCTTATCGGTTGGTAAATTTTGTCTGTGTCGATGTGTCTATTGATTGATTGATGATTCACTGGAATACCAGGCAGCCTTCTAAAAATTCTCTAGCATTCTTGGTGTTTCCTCTGTCTAATATTTGAACGTTGTCCCAGTCGAACTGGTGTCTGTGGTTGTCTGTATGTAGTGATATGAGGGAGTGGACATCATGTCTTTTGACGGCTAGCTTATGTTCGTAGATAAGAAGACGAAGGGGACGTCCACTTTGGCCAATGTAGTGTTTTTCGCAGTTGATACAATCTATTTTGTAGATGATGTTGGTTTTATCTTCCTTCGCTGTTGAGTCTTTTGGTTGACATAGAATTGAGTGAAGTGACTTTGTTTGTTTGTGTACGATGTCAATTCCTAAAGGTTTGAAGAGTCTTGCAGTGATTTCTGAGATGTCCTTTATATGGTAGGGAAATTTTCTTTGTGCTTTCTTTGGGGGCCTTTGCATCACTGCTTCTACAATCAAACCTGACATTGGCGATCCCATTGGTGTTCCTTTGACTTGTTCATATATTTGGCCGCTGAATTGGGAGTACGTTGTTAGGCATAGGTTTATGCATTCCATCCAACTTGTGTGTTGCATTTTTGATTGTTGTGGGAGGTGTTCGTCGTTGCCGAGTAGTTGCTCCATGGTCGCTTTTGCTAGTTTCTGTCGGATTGAGGTATATAATGCTGTGACGTCGAAGGATATCATTATTTCTTGATCATCTATTTGGCTGCCTCCGATTTTCTCTAGAAATTGGATAGCAGAATTGATGGAGCGATCACAAGATTCCGTTAGATGTTTCAATTTTCTGTATAATTCGACTGGGACAACCAACGTTCAAATATTAGACAGGGGGAACAACAAGAATGCTAGAGAATTTTTAGAAGGCTGCCTGGTATTCCAGTGAATCATCAATCAATCAATAGACACATCGAGATAGACAAAATTTATCAACCGATAAGAAGGAAACCTCACACACAAAGGGTCAAAGTTCAAGTCAAGGAAACAATCAACGCTAATACTAATACAAGTAGCCTAGAGGGAGTGGAAACACACAAAAACAACCAATCACGTCCAAGGACACCCACCGGGAGAGATGACTAATAAACTCGTGGAGAAATCTAAAAGCTCACTTCAATAAATTGAAGTATGCGCTGAAGATTTCGCCTAGCAGCAGGGCGATGAAAGCTTCGCAAATTAACTATCCAGCTCAGAGAACACAGCCACATGAAAAGATATCTATATGTCATACTTTGGGAGTTTTTCGGAGGATTTAATCAAAAACTGCGCCACTTTATAGAAGGTACTTGGACGACACTGTTATCATGAGTGATAAGCCTTGTTCTGTCACCTCAATTTGATATCGAATGAATGAAGTTCAGAATAGCATATCACTTACGTGTGTAGAAGAGGAAGATAATTGGTAATCTTTCCTAGATGTATTGCTTAGTTGACGGCTTGATGGATCAACAAAACGATCTACTTAAAGAAAACCTATCTGGACAGTATCTGAATTATCACAGTTTCTGCCCTTTTCGTTACAAAAGAACCTCAGTAATGTGCCTCTTCACTAAAAATCCTACGAATATGCTCCGAAGACACAATTGATGAGGAAGAAAGAAAGTTGATATAAACTCTGGTTGATAATAGTTATCCAAACAAGTTCATTGGGAGATATAAAGTAGTCAGAACACCAATACCCACTCTCCAACTCGCTGCTAAGAAAGACGGGTATATCAAGCAACCATATCTGGGTAATCATAGCAGCTTGGTAACTCGACAATGGTTGGACGCTGCTAAGATCATAATAATTGAGAATGTGAGGCGGATATGTCCATCTAAGCCCTGAGAACATGCGAAAAATGATGTCACATCACAGTGTACTTACCAATTTGAATGTACGTGTGGACACACATACACATAGGGAGGACTCACCGATCACTACAAGTAAGGGGTTCAGAAGCAAATAGAATCCCCAGAACCCACTAATGGTGAGAAAAGAAGACCTAGCTCCTCTATTTCGAAACATATTGTAGAGACAGGACATAAAATTGATGTTTACACGTCTTCTAAACCTATCTACAGAACGTGTTTGGGACATATCCTAAAGTTTGTGGAAGCTCTAGCAATTAGGAAGTTATAACCACCTCTATGCGTTCAAAAACAATTCGTCTTCACACTAAACCTTCCTTGGTAAACTTTGTTTTGATACCAGCCAGGGTAGATGTACTATTACCCCTCTTATTTGGACTGGTATCAGTTACAGAACCATTGAAAACGAGCAGGCGGAGTCCTGGGCAACTGTTTTGTCCTAGTTTAGGACTCATCGGCAGTACTCACTCACTGGGTTGCGAACCTAGAACTTATTGACTGGCTGCAGGACGAAGTTGACTTGGTTACTAGTGAAGAAGTTGTGACCGGTGGGGTCCACCTGGTCGGTAGTGAGGACAAATACTCGTCAGCGATGATACTGGCTAGTGCTAGTCGCGCTAAAATCACCAATTGGTAAAAGTTAGAATTCATAGGCTTGTCACTGAGTTGGATCCCAGTGGGCTGAATGGTCCACGAGCTGTTCTTGTAATCTGAAGGTCCTGGGTTCGAAGCCCAGCAGGTGCATACTGTCAATGAGTCCCAAGCACTAGGATGAAACAGCTGTCCAGTACTCCCTACTGGTTTTCAATGGTTCTCTAACTGATACCAATCCATTGATCAAACTTGTTATAAGTAATAGTTGATCATGTGTACCTCTACGTTGTTTTCATGGTAATGCCTCTTTGTAGATGTGTTCAAGTCACAAGTGTTTCATGAAATGTTTTTTTCAAAGTATCTGCAAGTTCGATTAATGAACAAAGAATATATATTTTTTTCAATAATCTCTTCTTCATCAGGTTCTACGGTTATTTATCCATAATAATGAAAGAATTTTCACTGGACACTAGTAACTAGTGTGACGTATCTAGTCCTTTCTTTGGTGCAGACTGAATTCTATCAGTCAGGTTTTTGCAATGTGGCCACCATTCTGGGTAGCTCGCCATCATGGTGCACATTGATTTGATGATATTAGATAGTTGGAGGCGATCGGACCGAATAGCTCAGTGATAACGTCCCTGACTGCAGCACTCACTGGGTGACGCGGGTTCAAATCTCAGAAGGGACATGAGTTCCTTCAAGGTTGCAGATACGCCTTGCTGACGAGTGCCAACTGGGACGAAACCTAGGTCAAGCAATGCTTCCTGTGGCCGATTGCCTCCAACCATCTAATATCATCAAATGAAAGAATTATTGTCAGTGACACTACTGTGCGTCGGTGGCACAGTGGTTAGGACTCTCGCCGACCATGCATATGGTCCGGGGTTCGAACCCCTACCGACGCACACCCGATATCTATGGTCGGCCTGCAAAATTTGGGCTGCCGATATCCATGCTGAAAATGTCATACTTGTACTGAAAATACGGTGTGGCATCAAGCTGTAATCAAAATAAATAAATAAAAATAAGTACTAGTGTTATTTTTAAATCATCATCATCATCAGTCCCTTGACTTTCGTCGTGGGGGTGCTATGACAGTTCGCGCTATCAGTCTTCGCCATTCTTCTCGGTTTAATGCTATTTTCTGTAGCGTATCCAAGGGCATTTCAGTCCACTCTTTTACGTTGTCAAGCCAGCTCTTATTCGGTCGACCTCTCTTTCGTGCTCCTCCTACTGTGCCTTGTAGAATCGTTTTGGACAATGTGTCATGTCTTACCGTGTGGCCGAACCATTGTAGTTTCCGTTTCTTTACGATTGAAAGGAGTGGTTCCTGTTTTCCTGCCAGTCTATGGACCTGGTGTAAGACATATTCATTAGTTTTCCTATCAAGGTAACTTATTCCTAGGATCCTTCTATAGCTTTTGTTTTCGAAGGCTTGTATTCTTCTTTTCTTTTCTTCTTCTTCTTCTATTATTTTTAAAAGTAACATTAAATCATTTGACATCAGAATTCCAAAAGTTATTTGCAAAATAGACTGTTAATAGATTATAATCGAAAACATGTTTATGTGGTTTTATGTTTCATTGTAACACTAAGGGAAGTGCTGCTGCACGAATTTCTTTTCTGAACATCAAGGTTCGGCTTTTTCTTCGCGTGTATGTATGTAGAAGAAGAATTCATAAAGCAAAATTAAAATTAGCTGGAATGCGATGAATAAATAAATTTAAATGCTGTATTAACATCAACTTTATGCCCACTGCCTACGACGTGGGCTCAGACAGGGCTACGAATAGATCTTGTTTGTACTTTGCTTAACCATGCTGGGTGATTTTCAGAAATACGCTGATAAACCTTATTTATTTTTTATTCAAATTGGA